CTTTTTTATGGTGAACAATGTGCCAAAAAAATAATAATAATTAAAGGAAGGCAAGATACAACTTGGAGACAGTAAAGAGTGGCCTGAGATATGAAGCACTATGCCGCTCCCAATAACAAGTGCTGCAAGAAACTCATTGTCAAGTGCAAGTGAAAAGTACAAAGATGTATTTTTTAAAAGAGCTTTATAGATGTGTAAGGTTTCAGCCACAAGGTTGACAAGTGTTTAGGTTTCTGTTGATAAAGTTCTAAGCTGTCTCTGAACTCCTTGACCAAATCTAATAATCCAGTCTCTGTATCAAAAGCACTACTTATGAAACACTGAAATCGTCACAAGCTTGCTTCCAAAACTGACCGACATTCTCCAACATACGCTGCCTACCTCAGTGCTGCTTGCAAGTTTTTCTTTTTCACATGAAGCCATTTTCTTGCAAGTTATTCCTCAGGAAGTGCCAGACCAAAATAGTGCATCAGAAGGGCTGGCATAATCAGCTCCACTAAAAACAGACTGATTAATACTAACGATGTCCTAGTTGCTAATCAATTATGTTAATGAAGTTGTAGGCAGAGCATTTGAGAAGCTTAACAAAGGTACTGAGTTCAGCCTGGCTAGATGTTGCATGCTTCTTGGGAGTTTCTCAGTGACAGAAGCTTCAACGAGAGGACCCTGCTTCTCTCCTCCTAAGCAGTTCCTCTTTGCAAAAGGCTCACAACCCTGAAATACCATTAATTTTTTGTTCATTCTAACATAATATTGAATGCTGAGATGAACTGTCAAATTAATCATACTTTAATTGTGACAGAATTTCTTCAGGATCCCATTTTACAAATGACACAAAATTTCCCAGGTGATAGGGTGAAAGGCAAAACATTTACTTCTTGGTGTTTTATGGACTTCTGCCAGGAGATTAATTTGAGCCAAATATTTGAATAATCTTATTATTAAAGAGCACCTCAAGTAGGGAAATCAGAATTGTTTGACTTGTGTCCAACTTTTTAGAATAAATTGGTATTTAAGATGTCACAAAGATTTATAAGCTATACCTTGTTCTGTTAGCATTGCGCATGAAGATGGACACTTGGAAGTGTCTGTAAATTATTCCAAGTCACTCGAACTATTAAAGTTCACATGTGAAAAACATATACCTATTATTTTTCTCCTTATTTTTGTTTTACAGGGGTTGAGTTTCCGAGTTCTCAATGATTTAAGTTGCTTGTTTTTCTTTTATTTAAAGGTAGGCAATGATTGTTGAGCTAATTCAAAGTTTGGTTGTTATTTAACTTCAGTATAAACTCCTTTAACTTGCACCAATGAAAAGCAAGTACAGAAAATGATAAAATGATAAAAGTCTAGAAACGTGATAGAAATAAAACACAAAACAACTGACCTCTCAAAGCCACTTAAGTAACTCCATTTTCTTGAAGTAGACATTTGAATTGTTTTAACAAAGCTTAAAGTTTAAAAAGGCTTACAGATTGAAAATGTCAACACGTGTGTTAAGTTTCCATGGCGAAATACCAAACCTCAATGTAGCTATTAAAAATAAAGCATTTTCAAATGGGAAGGACATAGAAAGAGGGAGAAAACAGGGAACAGGACAGGAGCCTACCACAGAGGACCTCTGAAAGACTCTGCCCAGCAGTGTATCAAAGCAGATGCTGAGACTCACAGCCAAACTTTGGGCAGAGTGCAGGGACTCTTAGGAAAGAAGGAGGAAATAGAAAGACCTGGAGAGGACAGGAGCTCTACAAGGAGAGCAACACAACCAAAAAGTCTGGGACCAGGTGTCTTTTCTGAGACTGATACTCCAAGCAAGGACCAGGCATGGAGAGGACCTTGACCCCTGCACAGATGTAGTTCAGTCTCCAAGTGGGTTCCCTAGTAATGGGAAGAGGGGCTGTCTCAGACATGAACTCAGTGGCTGGCTCTTTGATTACCTCTTCCTGACATGTGAGCATCCTTACCAGGCCATAGAAAAAGACAATGCAGCCAGTCCTGATGAGATCTGATAAGGTAGGCTCAAAGAGAATACATTCACATAGGCCGAATTCATAGACTTGTCACCACTATCGAAAGAGAGACATTCGAGCTTACTCTTTCTGTTTTGGGGATCAAGTAGAGAGAAAGATACTTAGAAGACTGTCCTCTTCTGAACTTGCCTGGGCTAGTCTCCTAATCTTAAATTTCCTTCCTTCAGAATTACAAGATAAGGCAACCTTTACATCAGTATGAAGTTATCTTCACACATTTTTTTCTTTACTCACAAAGACACAAGATTTGAAGGCAATTTGAGGAATAAGTGAGTTTAGACATGGGAGTTAGTGGAGACCTCAGTATTTTTCTCTAGTGGAGGTATTCACACTGAAATATAAGCACATAAAAGATCTCTGTGGACAAAACAAGACACATTGTAGCTGAGGAGTGCAGGAAATGTGTTCTACTCCTTTGAGTGTATTTGTGGTGTTTTCTAAACCCTTGGGAATATCTGTGGAGTCAGGGCAAGATACTGATAAACTTTTCACTAATACATTCTAACAAACAAAACCAGTTATGTTTCCTAGTTTGGGTTTAATGTAGTTGTGACTGACAGTTTAGTTGGGAATCTTATTTAAAATTTGAAAGTCATAATTTATACGTGTGTGTGCCTTCAGTTCTGAGAATTATTAATACAGTATTCTTGACTACCACAGAAACACATTCTTTGCATCAAAAAACTGCATGAAATCTGATATCAGAACTAAAGCATAAAGCCTGTGTCCTCATATTTTAAAACATACTGAAGAAGAGACAATGGAATCCTCACTGTCAAGGGTTTAGATTTTAACAAAAAACACATTGGCATCCATCTAAAAACCAAAGGTGACAATCCTAATCTGGTTACCTTCTTACTTATTAGTTAAAATAAATTTACTCATTAGTTGAAATAAAATTTAAATATTTGTTTGTTCATTGTTAATATTTATAAAAAGTCTACCTTTTTAGGGTTTCAGAATACCAACCATAGAATGCATGTAGAGTAAACACGTTCTAAATCAATGTGAATTGATGAGAGCAAAGAGCAAACATAGCATGGTCAGGACGGGGCCTGCCAAGTACAAGCATAACATATGCTGTTGTCAGAATACAGCATAAGGAAAAAATGCTACTCAGTAGCTGAGATTTTTCTATTGAATGAATAAAATATGAATGTATAACCAAAATTTATCAGTGGGATCTTGTTAGTTAGAAAATGCAACCATTCCTGAAGTATACAGATCTGATGTTAAATATAAAAATAGATAAAACAATGCAATACAGTAGTGTAAAAAGCTTTAACAATAAAAATTAATCCTTATCTTAGCCTAGAAATTACTGTGTGCTCTACCCTTTGAATGTTTTTGTATCAATTTGCTCCAAACTTCAAATGTCTTCCTATCAGGTTGTTCCCTCTTCTAAGCTCACACTGCTTCACAATGACTCAGGTCTTTCATTCTCATCATATTGTGATGCCTAAGCACATCTCCTACAGGGTACAACCTAGAACAAGTCCTATCCACATGGGATTATGCTTTGTAGAGTTCTCCCAGGTCAGTCATCTATGGCCATCCTTTACCAAGAACAGACTCTGGTGAGGCAGATGGAATGGGGTTACCTAGAGTCTCTTCTAACATATAATCTGGAACCTGTGTTCTGGACACTTCCTTCCCCTTTTATCCACAGGTCACTTTGTTGATGAAGTGTCGTCAGTGTGCCCATGTCATGACCAGAAACCAGAGCCAATGCTCTGCTATTAGTTAGTGTGGGCAGAATGTGCATAATTAGAATGAGATGTCTGTGTACAAAGTCTGTTCAATGTGCAGGAAATAAAAGGTAGAAAGGTGAGATGAGGAAGGTTTCCACCTTTTACATTAACTTTAATTCTTGTGCATTGATTTCTCTAAACTGAGTTAGATTGGCAGGAGCATTATCTTTTTAATTAGTTAGTTCTTTTCTAATAATTCTTAAAATATCTTAATGATCCCATTGTTGGTATCTACTTTAAAAACAGTGAAAATAATGAATAGATAAGACTTGAAATGACTAAATTTCCAGCAAAACTGATTTCAGTGATTTTTCTTTCCTCTTATTTTGCTCTGTTTTATGTTGGTTTGTTCTGTTGGAGTGTTTTGCCTTTCAAAAGCTACATTTTTGAAGACTTATTGTGAGTAGTAACTACTAACTACATCCAGTAAATATAACTGCACCAGCTTCATACATGTTGTCTGCCAATGCTATATTAATAACCTCTACAAGACAGAGCTCATGAGTGGTCAATTTAAATAACTTCCAGGTTTGGATATTTTCTAACATTTGGAGCTCAGATTCAGATGCTGCCACCTGAGTCTTGAAACACCAACTTATGTAAGAGATGGTAAAACTGCCAATGTGAAGGTATATTTGAAAAATAATTATTTAAATTTTTATTAATTACACTTTATTCACTAGAATCCCCCATAAACCCCTCCCTCCTCCCCTCCCAGTCTCACCCTCCCTTCCTCTTCTCCACTCATGCCCCTCCCTAAGTCCACTGATAGCGGAGGTCCCCCTCTCCTTCTTTCTGATCCTAGTCTATCAGGTCTCATCAGGACTGGCTGCATTGTCTTCTTTGTGGCCTGGTAAGGCTGCTCCCCCCTCAGGGGGAGGTGTTCAAAGAGCAGGCCAATCAGATTATGTCAGAGACAGTCCCTGTTCCTATTTGAAAATTTTTGATGTTAGTTTCTGACCAGCACACTGGTCTTCCACCAAGCAGCTGAAGTTCAACCATATGAAATTCTAAGAAGAAACTTTATTTTTTAAAAAGACGTCAATTGAAGCTTCAAGAAAACAAAATTTTACCTTATGAATACTAAAATGTAAGATGTAAGAAGATATCTGAGGTTTTGTTAATCTCATTGTTTTGTTTTTTAATATTCGTGGTTTTTTTTTAATGTACAATGGAACTATCTGTGTGGGAGAAGAGAACTACAAAGCTCGGTACTTGCCTTCAAGGGCCGGTGGTGACAGAGCAGGTCGGAAAGCTGGTGCTGTCACTGATGGTGGTGGAAAGGCTGGGCTTTGTCCTGTGCATGCAAAGCAGAAGATGAAAAAAAAAACCGTTAATAAATTTAACATCCATAACCAAAATAGCTAGTTCTATCTCCTGAATGCATAATTCATAATTCCGAGTTATAAATTAATATTCTTATGCAGTGAGAAAACTGTTCTGAGGTGACATCTTTAAGATTATGCCCTCACTGTTATCTTCCGTGCTATTTCTGGGCACAATATTTTCCACAGATGTGTATACATTGTCAGACACCTCCACTGGTTTGCAGGAGTGGGAAATCTACATGTGATCAAATAAAGCGATTTATTTTCAATGTGCGCTTTAAATTATGGAAACTCAAGTCTTAGAAGCTGACTGGGGATTGTGATCTGCAGAAAATTATCATTTTTTTTTTCATTTAACAAAATCTCTCAAATGATATGGTAGGGCAATAAGAGAATGTGAAAATTCATAGGCCTTTTGATATTGAACAGGTACATTCCTTCTGCCAAAATAAATGACCTGGAGTTAAGTAAATAATGAGCCAAAGGTAAAATATACTCACTGTATAGAAACTTGAAAGGTGCTCTCAAGTCTCTGAGCTCATTACCAAGTGAAACAACAAAAGCCCCACGGCCATTTCCAAGTCCTCTTCCATCCTGAGCGAATTCTTTAATTAACCAATACCAATGAAGGCATGAACCATAAATATTAACTATCACATGATGCCATCTGAATTGCTTGCACCAAGTTTTTATTATGAATTGCCAACTGCTAAGCTCTTGCCGTGTGCTTTGATCTAGGAGCTGACACAGGCGTGGGTACTTTCAAAAATTTCACTGACAACTAGATATTATCGAATGTCAGCAGATATGCCTGCTTACGGGGAAGTTTTCAGTTTCAGAATTCTTCAAAATTAGTCCTGTGTGGCAAATTATGGTTTAGCAACTGGAACAGAGTCTTTTTGCATACCACATCCCAGGCCCAGAGCCTCATTTTAAATAGGATTTAGCCTTCACTCATTGCACCATTTTCTTTTATTTGCTACTTTTATACTGAATTCATGAGTATATTCAAGTATGAAAAAAAAAAAAAAACAAAGTAGACTAGTGCATGGCATGCAGACCACATACCCAGAGAATATAAGCCCATATTTTGATTTTTCCTCATAGGAATAAGAATTTATAGATAATATAGAAATTCCCTTTTCAGTGATCCAAAAAGGAAGGGGTTAGTTAAGAGGACCAAAAAGAAGCTTGGACTATTTAATCTTTCCATGACATTTATACACACTTACAACTTTATAAGAATGATATGTATTTCATGCCTTGGAGCTTTTTCTGTTTGTTTGTTTGTTTGTTGTTTGAGACAGGGTTTCTCTGTGCAGCCCTGGCTGTACTGGAACCCTCTCTGCAGACCAGGTTGGCCTATAACTTACGGAGACCTACGTGACTCTACCTTCTTAATGTCAGAATTAAAGGGGTACAACACCACCACCAAACAGTATCTAAGCTTTTAATCTTCACAAGATGCTTATTATGTACAGCTATGATACCCATAGTATAGTTGTGAAAACAGAATCAAGTGAAATCGTGACATTCAGCTCCAGTGGGATGGACCTGGTTATCAATGCAAGCTCAGACTGCAGTGAAAAAAGTTGCTTATCAATGGCCTTGGGCTGGCAAAGGGTCTCTGTCTATAAGGGCTCAGGTGAAGAAAGAGAATCCAAAGAATGAAGCCTCCTCCTTAAATTTCTGGATTGTTATGAACAAATGTGATATATACTGGAAAAGATATCTATCTCTGTTTCATCTCTACCTCTACCAATATGAGACATTGTCCTGCCTATGTTTTCTTTTACAATTCTGACAGAAGTTAGAGGTACCTGGGGAGAGAAGCCTCAACTGAGAAAACACCTTGATCAGATTTCCTGTACACAAGCCTGTAGGGCACTGGGAAATGGGTTATATCGTAGGGCACAGCTCACTGAATGTGGTGCCAACCCTGGTCTGCTAGTCCTGGATTATATAAAACAGCAGTCTTTGGAGGAGAAGCCAGTAAGTAGCTCTCCTCCACGGCTTCTGCTCATTTTCCACCTCCATGTTCCTGAATTCTCCTGACTTCCTTCCTGGATGATGCATGATCTGGAAATGCAAGATAGAACTCTTCCTTCCCCAAGTTTTATCAGAGCAATAGAAACTCTAACTAAGACGTAAATTAGTACCAGGAGTAAGGTATTGCTGTTCCAGACCTGGTGATATGTTAGGATGGTTATGGAAGGACTCTGAATCTATTGAGTGTTCATAGGTTAATGAGCTATTATAGAAACTTAGAATATAATGGTGAGAGCAGTGAAGATGATGGAGACGGGGCATGTGGAGTTTTATAGGGAAGTTTGTGAGTCTCTGAAGCACTCTGTGGGGGCTATTTTGAAATAAGAATCTGGGGCTTGGGGAGCTCACCTTTTCTGAGGAGGGGAGAGATGATAGAGAGATGATAGAGGGAAGAAGGTCAGAGCGAGGGATTGGAAAGAGAAGAGGAAGGAGGATATGATCAGGATATAAGGTGAATATATAAATTAAAAATATATTTTAAAAAAGATTAAAAAGAATCTGGTGTTCTGTTTGAACTGGCTGTGACTAAGAAAGGACTGGCATCACTGACACAAAGCCTTCTGGGAAGTTTTTCTTCGGTGTAAACATATAGGAGCTGTAGTCCAAAAATGTGGCCAAGACTGTACCTTGTGCAGGATGCCAAACTTGGTAATGTGTAAGAGTCCTGTGTGTAAGCTGCCAATATTGAAGAATTGTGTGTGTGTGTGTGTGTGTGTGTGTGTGTGTATGCGTGTGTGTCACACAAAATAATTTTTTGCTTTGAAATTAATAAGAGTCTATAAGATATAGTATAGAGATAGCAGTATACTAATCTAAGTGATTAACATTTTCTTTGCTAAAATGATGACTGGGGTGACTCACGTTCTCAAGTGAACTGTGAAGTCAGGAGCTAATTTCAGATTGCACGAAGGAAAGCACAATTCACTATATGAAAGTTTAATCTGTCTAATTCATAGTGAATGATAGTTCCCAGTTGAAAACCATTTGTAGACCACAGAAACCATCCCCATACGTGAGGCAAACAACAGTTAAGAAAAAAAGTCCCTCTAAGGTCTCATAAAGACCTTATGCTGTAGGCTTCCACCGAATTTTCCTTGAGGTATTGAGTGTTAAATTAGATGACAGCAAAAACTTTGGTAAGACTACTGCTCCTACAAACTATAGATGGCTGTCGTTGTGGATTCTGGCTAGGAAACCTATAAAAATCACTGCTAAGTAATCACTGAGTTAACGTTCATTTACACTTTTGAAAAATACAGGAGCCTTTTTTTTTTGTAGCTTTAGGGAGAGTTCTGCAGTTTACACTTTAGATTAATAAAACCAAGTGAACACTGGTTCATATTTTTAGCTAGAGCAAGTGATTATGGTAATACCATGTGTCAGTTGGATCACTAGGATCACCTTGACCTTCAGGATCCCATACTGAATATCTCAGTCCTCGGCTTTAGATTTCTAGAGCACTTGCTTATGGAGGGAAGCCACTGCATGGCATGTGTTGGGGACCACGCCTTGATCTACTACCTTTCAACCCCAGGGTCAGCCCTATGGTCCTCAGAGCAGAAATCCCATACAAGAGGCCTGGAGGTGTAAAAGAAAACCAGAGAGGAAGGGAAAGGAAAGAGGAAGAGAAAGAATAAAGAAAAAAGAAAGCTAAAATCATGTGGAAGATACAAGCCCAAAAGACAGTGACACAAAGGCAGCTTCCATGGGGAAAGAAAAAGAAAAAAAATATAATATCTTAAGGAGAGTAAGCTTCCTCTTGCCCCTTATCAGAATCATACAGTTGATTTACACTGATGTCCCGGGTTGCTTTAAGCAATAAGTACTCCTTCAGTCAGTGGTAAAGGTTTTTAGCATGTAAAATGTATTTCAAGGCTTGTGATATAAGCCATATAACTTATTTTGGACATGATCAGTTGAATAGTTTAAACATTTATATTTCAGCTGGTATGAACACATATCTATTCACTCATGAGGTCTTTTTTCTGTGTACTTCACACAGCATACATAAGGTTTACACTGATTTGTCAGTGATTTTATATATATATATATATGTGTGTGTGTGTGTGTGTGTGTGCGCGTGTGTTTAAATCATACATACATATACATGCATATATATGTATGTATATGACAAGGCATGTATACATGAAAGGTTGAGACAAAGAACCCGGAAGAGTGATGCCGGCTTGGTCCAGATAGTTTACAATGGAGATTCTTTCATTTATAAAATGCCTGGAATTGCCTGGAAGAAACTTCTTATAGTAGCTAAGCAACAAGTAGAAAAATTTCCCTTAACTTAGTGATGGGGCAAATCAATGTGTTTAAAGTATTGTGAATGTAATAAAAAAGTTCACCTAGGTTTTTGTGACTTTATATGAAAATAATAACACCAATAAAAAACATCAAATACAAACATAGAAAGTGCTGTGATCATGACGCTTACATTAATGATAGAGCAAGGCTTGTCATCAGCAAGCAAAACAACTATTTCGAGTCTCATAAATTCATGGCAATCAACATAAGAGTATCGAGGCTGAAAGTGGCTTGGGGAACAGTTGAAAGAAAGTTGAATGGAGGAGCTAGAGGCGAACACAAAACAAGCCTGCTAACTTGTATGTGTTACATTCAAATTAGACAAGCCACAGGAAGTGTTTTGGGGATATCTTTTGGTGTTGCATTCTTTTAAAAAAACAATATGAAGTCCTTTTAGAGTATAGTGTGATAGGGAGCTTCTCTAAAATGTAATAAATAAACAAAAATAAGTTTGTTTGTTTTTTTGAAACAGAGAGTCAACAGGAAGTCAAACAGGCGATACTGAAACGAACTAGGTAAGAGAGGCTGCTGACTGCAGATTGGGATCTACTGCGGAGGCTCACATATTCATGCAACAAATACTTACTTAGTGCCTACTGTTTACCAC